TAGAGTCGGGGTTAGGCTGGGCCGCATCAAGGATTCCACAAAAAAATAGTATTCAAGTATTCCAAAAAAGGAGCACAACTGATCCAATCTTCTCAATATTTATTATTAACGTTTCTTCTGAACTGTTCCTCTGAATTTGAACATTCCTTTCTGTACATGATTGGTTCTTTATGAGCTGTCCTTCTGACAGTTGAAGTTCATTTTTACAAACTTTCTTTGTCTATAACACATATTTGTGATATTTATATTTGCTTATGTCCTTTTTATTTTCTTTATACAACACATTAATGATATTGAATGTTTTTTTTTTTTTTTGGAAGGCACATTTCCTTTTATTATACTTAGAAAAACAATTATTGCTTTTGAAATACAAATATTTGCAGTCATGTCTGCCCATCTTATTGAATTCTTTCTACACATGTATAGTGTCTCAAATTACTGACTGCACAAATCAAAGCAAACCTTCTTATCAACCTGTTGGACACATATTACAAGCTCAAAATGATTATTCTCACATTGTTTTAAAGCAGGGTCTCTCTCCAACACGTCGCTCGCGAGCTACCAGTAGCTCGTGGCCTGATTGGTGTTAGCTCGCCAAGGGGCCGTTCACATATCGCGCTCACATATTTTGCGCGCTCAAGTTCGTTATTTCAAATGTAGGCGCGCGGCAAGCGCGCTCATAATTGAAGCGACGCGCTCATTTTTTCCAGGCGCAGTATGTTTGTACTTCGCGGTTGTCTATGACAACTATTGACAACAAACCCACCGTGTCACGAGACTATCTATGGTAGCCCATAAGGGATACATTTTTTTTTTTTTTTTTAAACGCGGCACACGCAACGACGGGCCGCACTAACATTAAACTTTAATGTCAAGTAGGGGGCCACAAAATATCACCCTGCGGGCCGCAAATGGCCCGCGGACCGCGAGTTTGAGACCACTGATGTAGATAGTTAGTTTGTATTTAGATACAACTTGTTACTATACTGATACTACTTGTTACTTCAATAAATTGGAACATTTTAAGCTTGTTACGTATTTCATTAGCATTGTGTCGGGGCGATGGGGGCAGTGGGGCTTGAAAATTCCCCCTTGTCCAAAGTGGGGAATGACCGAAAAAGTTTGAGAACCACTGGGTTAGGCTAACCTTGGCCTATTTAACCTATATTCAAATACACATTGTGAAAGTTAACTTGACTTCCTAAGAATTTAATAGGTCAGATGATCCACTTAAGGTAAAAAAAATACCCCAGTTGAACAATAACCATGTTATTGATTATCACTAACTAATAAGTTCCTAATGTTATGAGAACCCTAGCAAATCTGCTATTGTAATAGTGCGGCACGATTAATCTTATCGCAATCGTAATCGCGATGTCAAGCCTGTGCGATTATATGGTGCAAAATGCTGCGATTTTATGTAAAATAAACAATGGGCTGTTAACGCAATTAACGCAGCATCTGTTATTTTTTGTCATCCTTTGGCTAGTGTTACATGATAATGCTCTCATGCGATTGCTTAAAACCATTCATGCGAGACAAGTCAAAAGAGAGCGCGCTGAATGTCCGACTGTGACTCACAGAAAGACGCGCCAGAATACAGTTCTCTTTCGCGCTTGAACGAACAACAACACACACAATTATGCCAAAATGTCGTTTGTCGAGTATCTTCATAACATAAGAGCAGTCTTATGATGGACGTATAGAGTTGTGAGAGGATGAGGCGCATGTGAGATCCGTGTCTCTGTCAGCAGCGGCTGCTCTTAAAGGGCCAGCAGCCAAAGCTTTCTGTCAGTAAAGTTAATCACAGAACAAAGGGGACAGAGAAAATTACTCACTGCTCTTGACTAAAGAACTTATGTAGCTTTAATAAGGATTAGTCTATTTATTATTTATGCAGCGCAGAGTCGCAGACTGTTTGATAACTTTATTAAATTTCTGCATACCTGTTAGACAGGAAGGGCACAGGTAAATATGACATGTCATTTATAATGGGTTTATGTGAGGATTATTTGAAGTTCACTTAAATTAAAAGCTGTTATATTTTTTGACGTCTAATAAATGTTTAAAAAAAAAATTATAGCTTTCAATTGTAATGATGGAATCACTGTAATGTTGGATGGCTCTAATTAATGTTTTAAATGGGGGTGGATTAATTTTTATCCAGACATCAATGGCTTAGATGTTATCAATCATTTAGTTGTTGTTGCTAGTTTGAGTTGAGAAATACACATTTCAGAATTATCACTAATCTGTGTGTGCATTTTGCTTTAGAACCTAGCAAGTTGACTCATGAAACCATTTGTTTATTATATCGCAATCGCATATTCCAATTGCAATATTGACCTCAATAATCACAATGACATTTTCCCCAAATCGTGCAGCCCTATATTGTAATAATAATAGTAATAATAATAAATCATAATCATAACTGTTTTTATTAGAATGACATGCAACTAGTTTGCTCTGAATATGAACCAAAAATAAATAAACCAAAAAAGAAACAGCCAGCTTACCAATAACGTGTTCCATTCCATGTGAAGTCAAACAAGTAGTTGCCTTGAACATCTTTAACATGTTTACTTTGAGAGAGAATCCCACGGTATTCAACAACAAAGGTGGATGGTTCAATGTGCTCAAGTGCAAACACACCTCTCCCTAAAAGGGCAAAAAAATATATAATAATACAAATAAAACATGAATCCAAGTGCACCTATATGTTACACAGCTAACCAACCTATCCTTTTAAAGAGTTAAATCCTGTAAAACTGTGTAATGTAATATGAGGTGCAGGAAATAAAAAAAATAAAAAAAATAATCAAGCATTGGTTTTCACTGTGATATAGCCTACTAGTTGAATTTGGTTACACTATTCTCTGTATACATAGTTTTATGTATTTATTTTAAAATAATAATTATAAAAAAATTGTTTAAAGTTTTTTTTTTTTCATCTCTTAACCTTTATGAAAATGAGCGGCTTACCCAAGGGTAAAATGTGTGAATTTGAAAGATCATGTCCAGACTGCCAGCAATAGGCCTACTTTTAATTCTTACAAGTGCATGCCTACTTTATGATTTGATTTGCCTGCAGTCTGAACATAGTCAAATTGCCTTGTGGTGCACAATTTACCTTTGAATGTGTTGATTTGTCGTCCCTCAATGAAGGCTTTGTCTTTGCCCGACAATATGTGTTCTTTTGCATCCTGCTCAGGTTTTATTCTCTTCTTTCTTAAAATGTTGACTGAAAACATTCCAGACAACATAATTAGTATGTATTTATAAATATATAAATATATAAATATATATATATATAGATATATAGATAGATAGATAGATAGATAGATAGATAGATAGATAGATATGCTTTATATGCAGTACATTATTGTCAGACTGTAGTCTATATCAATAAATACAACATTTTACACAGAAATAGTTGATCAGTGAGGTTTTGAGGCTTGTTACTTTTGATAAGAAACAGTCTCCGATTTCAAATTCAGTCCATTTTAATACCATTTTATCACTCTTTAATGTGGCGCCTCAGATCAAATGAAGCTAAACTCGTTACTTAGAAAAATTAACTATAGAGAGAAAGTTTTAGAAAATGTTACATGTATTACACCTGATTTACATTAAAATAATAAATGTAAAATCGAATTGGAAATAGAATCGAAAGCACGTGAATTAAAATTGAATGGAATCATAAAATGTCTGCTAATATCCAGCCCTAAAATGAATCAACCAGATAATTTTGGCAAGTCATTCTAATGACAGTAACGTTACATTAATGAAAGTATACTTTTACATTAGTCTCGTTTCTGTTTATTTAATATATTTCTGTATCTTACTGTATTAAACTGTAAATTCATCCACCAACTTTACCAGTCATCACGATGACAACATAGATTTGATTTATTTCAAAATGTAAATTAATTCTCTCAAGCATCCATGGAGATGTATCTTTCATCAACTAATACTAATACTAGTATCCAACTGCTTATGGACTTATATTAGCCACGTTTAGTGGCCACGTTTAAAGTAATGTAACTAACGTTATTAAAAACTGTCTGACTCATGACACTTAACTCCATAAAGGTAGAATATATAAATAAACGCACTTACCTTCCTCGTGATAAAGTGAAAATCTCCCACTATAGCTCGTCAACTTCGCTCGAATTCTGCTAATTAATCTTTCATGATGATGATTAATCTTCTGATTAATCACACCGTCACACCACACGTCTGCGATAGAAGATCAGAGGCGCAGGCGCGCTGACTTTGACGGATGTGAAATGCAGCCAATCACTGACGAGGATTCCAGCAGCCAATCACTGACGAGGATTCCAGCAGCCAATCACTGACGAGGATTCCAGCGTTCCACCAATGAATCGCGCTTGGGCGTGGTCTGGGTGTATGAAATGTGTATGATACTGCAGTAGCGTCGAATTTCACATAGAGGGAGATTATACACTCTGAGCATACTCTGGCACACACTGAAAAACGGGTACAACGGATTTATAAGGACATATTGAGAAAAAGCGGGAGGTGGTTAGGCGCAGCCTGATAAGCCTTTCTACACTGCTCGACTTATGAGGACAGTAGTGCTGTCCTCGTAGTTACGGTATGTCCTCATAGAGTCGGTATGTATCCATGGTTTTTGTCCTCATAATCCGGTCGCACCAACGCACACACACACACACACACAAACACACACTCTCCCGTCTGAACTCACCTGGTCCGCTCAGACACACACACACACTCTCCCGTCTGAACTCACCTGGTCCACTCAGACACACACACACACACACACACACACTCTCCCGTCTGAACTCACCTGGTCCGCTCAGACACACACACACACACACAAACACACACTCTCCCGTCTGAACTCACCTGGTCCACTCAGACACACACACACACACACACACTCTCCCGTCTAAACTCACCTGGTCCACTCAGACACACACACACACACACACACACACTCTCCCGTCTGAACTCACCTGGTCCACTCAGGAAGTCTCTGACGACCACAGACAGGAGTGGAGGAGGGATTCCTGTGCGACCATCAGCTTCTCCTGCCACCGTCTGCAGCCAGAACACACTGTAGTCCAAGGCCTCGGGGAGAGACTTCCCTGCGTCTGAGAGAGAGAGAGAGAGAGAGAGAGAGAGAGATGGAGTGTGTGTGTGTGTGTGTAAGAAAGAGATGGAGAGATTGGCAATATTGTATGATGTACAGCCATGCCAATAAAGCAATTTTTTAATTGAATTGAATTGAGAGAGAGAGAGAGAGAGATGGAGTGTGTGTGTGTGTGTGTGTGTGTGTGTGTGTGAGTGTGTGTGAGAGTGAGTGAGTGTGTGTGTGTGAGTGAGTGTGTGTGTGTGTGTGTGTGTGTGAATGAGTGAGTGTGTGTGTGTGTGTGTGTGTGTGTGAATGAGTGGCTGTGTGAGTGTGTGTGTGTGTGTGTGTGTGTGTGTGTGTGTGTGTATGTGTGTGTGTGTGTGTGTGGCTGTGTGAGTGTGTGTGTGTGTGTGTATGAGTGTGTGTGTGTGTGTGTGTAGATTATTGTAATGCTCTACTGGGTGGTTGCCCTGCACGCTTAATAAACAAACTACAGCTGGTCCAAAACGCAGCATTTACATTTACATTTAAGTCAAGTCAAGTCACCTTTATTTATATAGCGCTTTTTACAATACAGATTGTATCAAAGCGCTTCACAGTGATAACATGAAAACAATATAACAAAGTTTGTTTCTAAAAGAAATTGCGTCAACGTCCACCTTAAGTAAGGCAGATCAATAATATTATTGAATATTAAATGTTAAATGTCCCCAACTAAGCAAGCCAAAAGCCAAGGCAACAGTGGCAAGGAACCAAAACTCCATCAGGTGACAGAATGGAGAAAAAACCTTGGGAGAAACCAGACTCAGTCGGGGGGCCAGTTCTCCTCTGGCCAACGGTCTTAAGACCGGCGTGCATACTTGGACTTCCAAAAAATACTCTAAATGTTCCGATCCAATCTGACTTGTAATGCTGCCCGAATCATGCACTGTTCCTTTACATTTACATTTATTCATTTAGCTGACGCTTTTATCCAAAGCGACTTACAATTGCTATATATGTCAGAGGTCGCACGCCTCTGGAGCAACTAGGGGTTAAGTGTCTTGCTCAGGGACACATTGGTGTCTCACAGTGGATTCGAACCCGGGTCTCTCACACCAAAGGCATGTGTTTTATCCACTGCGCCATCACCACCCCTCGCAGCACCTCGAGTTCTTACCAGAACCTAGCCTGGGAAAGCCCAGACAACTTCCGGCAAATTTAGATTTGCTCTGAAAGTTAGTCTGGCAAAGAGCCCATTGAAACCCATTTCCAATCCGTCGAAATCGCGGCACCAATCAGAAACGTTGGGGCGGCCTTTACACGATGACGACAGAGCAGCGACGGTGAAGCAGATTTTGTGCATTACAAAGATGGATGCCGCCGTGGAACATCACTCGTTTGAATCAGCTATCGCGTCTGTGTCAAGCGATTTAAAATTATCATTTTCGTTAAAACCCGAGCAAAGAACAGCACTCGAAGCCTTCATATCTAAAAAAGATGTGTTACCTCCGTAATACTCCTCCTAGCAATATTCGGTCAACCAGGACTTGGAGTGTTTGGCCGAAACTTTTTTAAATCCCTCTGTGTTTTTGACAGAGTAGACTCACGTTGTCTTTTTTCAACGGCATCTGTCGATCCCGTCGCTTCCCCGCCTTGCTCGTCCTTTAACCATGACCTATACACTGGCAAATCACGTTCTAATCGCAATATAAATGCCTTACAACGGGGGCAAATGCGATCAGATCTTGATGTTTTCTGTTCGACCGTCAATCCGAGATGTTTCAAACGGTCTGAGATGCTATTGGTTTTTCCAAATGTTGTAAAAATTTTGCTGGAGTGGCGGTGGACACCAGCTATTATCATATTTCTTTTACAAAACCGGCAAAAGTCGTCAGAAGCCATTGCTACATAATTTTCCTTGAAATCATAAACAGAATTGCTGTCCGAGTCTCAGATGTTTCTCCGTCGCTCTGCATACGTCATGTCCTTCATCGCTCTGATTGGTTTTAGGTCTATCCAATTGCGCCAAGAGGCATTTGAGTTGGTCCGTTGGTGACGCCCCTCTGGAAATGATTTGTCTATGGAGCTTTGCCAGACCCTAACTCAGTTACAACTGAGAATGCTCTGGTTTTAACCAGGCTAACCAGAACCAGGAAGTATGACCATATTAGCCCGGTTCTGTCAACACTGCATTGGCTCCCTATTAAAGATTCAGGACCTGCGTCTAGACACGACCACAACGCATCCCTGAAGTGTCAGCAGAGATTGAGTCATCTAGACTCTCCCCTGTAAGGCCTCATCGACACGACAGCCATCGGCACTGATCCTCAACAAACTCGTCTCCATAGTGACTCTGATCTTCAACCAGAGGGAACTGGATAATATTCTGAATGTTCTGATCCAATCTGACCTCTGACCTCTGACCTGTAAGCACACACTGTTGGCTCGTTGGCCAGAGGAGAACTGAGCGACTGAGTCTGGTTTCTCACGAGGGTTTCTCCATTCTGTCACTGATGGAGTTTCGGTTCCTTCACTGTCGCCTTTGGCTTTTGGCTGCTTAGTTTTTAATATCCAACATTTAATATCCAGCAATATTATTGATCTCCTGCATTGACAGCATTATATGAGAACTGAACTGAGCTGGACGATGACATCACGGTTTTCTCCAGAGCGGCTATATATTTATTAACTAAATTAATAACTTTATGAAAAAAATGAAGCATCACTGAACTTACTTAAGCTGGACTGTGACGGTATTCTCTTCTGGAAACAAACTTTGTTGCATTATGTTCCTGTTATCTCTGTAAAGCTGCTCTGAAACACTCTGTCTTGTAAAAAGCGCTATATAAATAAAGGTGACTTGACTTGTGTGTGTGTGAGTGTGTGTGTGTGTGTCACTCACCAAGACTCCTGTAGTCGCTGGCGGCCCCCTTGAGCGCGAGGTCGAACAGCGAGAGCTCCAGCCGCTGTGTGTGAGTGTGTGTGTGCATGAGGACGGAGGGCTGGTTGAGCTGCAGGAACAGCAGCGGCTGCAGGCGTGAGTCTCGGGCTCCTCTCCGGCCCGGCTGTCTCACCACCGTCACTCCCAGAGCCTGACGCGCAGACGAGCGGCCCGGAGCCGGAACGCCCAGGAGCCCCGGCCACCCGCCGGCAGCGCTAGCGTTAGCATTCAGCAGGTCGTCAGCCGTCAGCGAGGACAGGCTGCAGTCGCGGGTCGTCTCGTCCTCCGGCACGTTAGCCGCGGGAGCGTTAGCCGCGGGAGGATTAGCCGCGGGAGCGTTAGCCGAGGGAGGATTTGCCGCGGGGGGATTTGCCGCGGGCAGCGTCGCGTACGTCATCAGAGAGATGCGGCCGGCGGTGAGGAACACGTCGAACGGGACGAAGCGGAGGTTCTTGGTGATGCTGGGCTGCTGCGAGGGCCGGGCGAGCCGGTACTGACCCGCGCCGCTCTGACGCTCCATCTGAACCATCCGCAGGCGGGCGCTGTCGCTGCCGAAGCCACTGTCCTGCCCACAGGGGGCGCTGATGCCACACACACTCTCCACCGAGCCCGAGACCGCGGCGGCCTGCGGAGGACGGCCACACACCTGAACACACACATACACAGGTGATATCACAATCTGAACTTATTCATCTGCATATGCACAGAATGTGTCTTAAAGTAACCATGAAATCAATGTTTTTTAATAGAATATTGCTGTATTTATTCTAAATGATTATTTATCATTATTGTGTTAAATTCATGTTCCTGTTAATCTTGAATAAGAATAACTTCCTCTTGCAGCCTCTCTTCTCTCGTTTCACTCGGATATACGGCACAATAGAGAAGAAAAGACCAGTGCAACCTCCCTTTGAGAACTAGTCAGACCAACTAGCAGTCTTAGTTTTCAGATTCAAATTAGACCAATCTACATTTTTCTGTTACTGACATAAAAAATAATAATGAAAAACTGTAGATATTCACGCAGAACATGTTTTTCTATGTAAACATGCACTAGAACGTTTTTGAGGTCTTAGACCATTCTAGAAACACAGCACTCAGGTTTTAAAAAACTTTTAAAAAAGTATAGTTTTTGCTTTTGCTTTTTTTGTTTTACTGACCTGCGTCTGTTGTTTTTAACTGCAAAAGCGTTTTCTGTGTGAATGACCTCTAACTTCTAAGACGAGTCTAAGTAGTTTATGCAACTGGCCACAGTAATCATAAGCAAACAAACCAACAATTAAAAAATAACAAACAAGCTCAAAATATCTGAGGCACTGCAGTGGGTGGGGCTTCGCTGGATGTATGGCATGAAAATGTGACGTGTTCAGTGACACACACACACACACACACACACACACACACACACACACACACACACACACACAGGGTCAGGGTCAGGTTCAGTTCAGAAACTACACTGACGCTCATGTGTTCAGAGCTCAGCGCCAGAGAATGTTCTCCTCAAATCTGAGACTCCCTTTGAAGAAAACAAAAGCGTTTAAAGTGAGCGTTTAAAGCGCCGCGGCTTCAGTGTTCTGGGAGGAACGCAGTCGCAGTCGCTCAGAGACAAGCATCAAAGCCCAGAGCGCCGAGCTCACAGCGACAGCTCAACCACAGGACCGACACGGGCGGATCTCAGCGGGTCAGTTCTGCAGCATAACTCACTGAGGAGCACACACACATCAGGCCTGCAGGAGCACACACACATCAGGCCTGCAAGAGCACACACACATCAGGCCTGCAGGAGCACACACACACCAGGGACCCTGAAAAACGCGCCAGTAAAGTAAAACCGCTCGGGTCTGTCGGATCCGAGACCGATGAGTCACTGGTGCCGGTTCTGCTGGCAAAACCACTGGGAATCCGGCATCATTTACCCCACATTCATGTTCAATGAGCTGAGAATGAACAAGCCTTCCACACGGTGCACTCCAGGGGTCAGAGGTCAGGGGTCAGCCGCAGGTGACAGACTGCTGACAGAACAAATCAGCTCAACATCATGCAAACGCACGTCAAACTCACAATCATTCCAGCGTGTCAATCATTTCCAACTAAATTCATTTCAATCACTGTAAGGCATTCATACACCATATTAAAGGACATTATCTCATCAATTGCTCGCCCTCATGTCATTCCAAACCTGTGGATCACAGAGGATGATATTTTTTGATCTGAAAGCTGCGTGACATAAACTTGGGTTTGTTATCAGTGTTACACCGGACCTTTACGGCCTGGAAAAGAGCAGCGTAAACATTCTGCTGAACATCTACTTTTGTGTTCCACAGAAGAGTAAATTATCACTCATTTAAGAGGTGAGAAACTTAAGATTTCGGAAGCCTGACCATCCTGAGGTCCCGATAGCCATCATCAACTCTACGCTCAGTTTACCAGCGCTTCACCAACAGCCATGTGACCTCGGTGAGCTGGGCCTTAAACACACACACACCTCCATGAGGTCATGACGTCCCTCTCCGGCCTCAAACACACACGCGAGTCTCGTGATGTCATGACGTCCCTCGGGCCTCAAACACACGCGTCTCGTGAGGTCATGACGTCCCTCGGGCCTCAAACACACACGTCTCGTGAGGTCATGACGCCCCTCTCGGCCCCGGGGACGCTTGCTTTGGTTACGGTGAGGACAAACAGCCTGTGAGGAGCTCAGGGTGAGCGAGAGGTGAAGAGGAGACGGGCTCCAGGTGTCTCTGAGACCGCAGTCCAGCGCTAGAGTTATTCCCCGTCCACTGAGGCGTAGGGCCGCTGGCAGACACTGTTTACAGCGAGACCGAGACGAGAGACCACTCCAACTCATTTCATCTGCAGCTCGCTCGAAAACCACACAACAAAACACTGCGTTACCAAACACATTCCCATCAGCACCAGCGGTCGCCAGAACGACGACAACACATTCCCATCAGCACCAGCGGCTGCCAGAACGACGACAACACATTCCCATCAGCACCAGCGGCCGCCAGAACGATGACACCACGACCATCAGCACCAGCGGCCACCAGAACGATGACACCACGACCATCAGCACCAGTGGCCGCCAGAACGATGACACCACGACCATCAGCACCAGCGGCCGCCAGAACGAAGACACCACGACCATCAGCACCAGCGGCCGCCAGAACGACGACACCACGACCATCAGCACCAGTGGCCGCCAGAACGACGACACCACGACCATCAGCACCAGCGGCCGCCAGAACGACGACACCACGACCATCAGCACCAGCGGCCGCCAGAACAACGACACCACGACCATCAGCACCAGCGGCCGCCAGAACGATGACACCACGACCATCAGCACCAGCGGCCGCCAGAACGACGACACATTCCCATCAGCACCAGTGGCCGCCAGAACGACGACACCACGACCATCAGCACCAGCGGCCGCCAGAACGACGACACCACGACCATCAGCACCAGCGGCCGCCAGAACGACGACACCACGACCATCAGCACCAGCGGCCGCCAGAACGACGACAAATTCCTATCAGCACCAGTGGCCGCCAGAACGACGACACCACGACCATCAGCACCACGGCCATGACCATCAGCACCAGTGGCCGCCAGAACGACGACACCACGACCATCAGCACCAGCGGCCGCCAGAACGACGACACCACGACCATCAGCACCAGCGGCCACGACCATCAGCACCAGTGGCCGCCAGAACGACGACACCACGACCATCAGCACCAGCGGCCACGACCATCAGCACCAGCGGCCGCCAGAACGACGACACCACGACCATCAGCACCAGTGGCCGCCAGAACGATGACACCACGACCATCAGCACCAGCGGCCGCCAGAACGATGACACCACGACCATCAGCACCAGCGCCGGCAGAACGACGACACCACAACCATCAGCACCAGCGGCCGCCAGAACGACGACACATTCCCATCAGCACCAGTGGCCGCCAGAACGACGACACCACGACCATCAGCACCAGCGGCCGCCAGAACGACGACACCACGACCATCAGCACCAGCGGCCGCCAGAACGACGACACCACGACCATCAGCACCAGTGGCCGCCAGAACGACGACACCACGACCATCAGCACCAGCGGCCGCCAGAACGACGACACCACGACCATCAGCACCAGTGGCCGCCAGAACGACGACACCACGACCATCAGCACCAGTGGCCGCCAGAACGACGACACCACGACCATCAGCACCAGCGGCCACGACCATCAGCACCAGCGGCCGCCAGAACGACGACACCACGACCATCAGCACCAGCGGCCACGACCATCAGCACCAGTGGCCGCCAGAACGACGACACCACGACCATCAGCACCAGCGGCCGCCAGAACGATGACACCACGACCATCAGCACCAGCGGCCGCCAGAACGATGACACCACGACCATCAGCACCAGCGGCCGCCAGAACGACGAAACCACGACCATCAGCACCAGTGGCCGCCAGAACGACGACACCACGACCATCAGCACCAGCGGCCGCCAGAACGACGACACCATGACCATCAGCACCAGTGGCCGCCAGAACGACGACACCACGACCATCAGCACCAGTGGCCGCCAAAACGACGACACCACGACCATCAGCACCAGCGGCCACGACCATCAGCACCAGCGGCCGCCAGAACGACGACACCACGACCATCAGCACCAGCGGCCACGACCATCAGCACCAGTGGCCGCCAGAACGACGACACCACGACCATCAGCACCAGCGGCCGCCAGAACGATGACACCACGACCATCAGCACCAGCGGCCGCCAGAACGATGACACCACGACCATCAGCACCAGCGGCCGCCAGAACGACGACACATTCCCATCAGCACCAGTGGCCGCCAGAACGACGACACCACGACCATCAGCACCAGCGGCCGCCAGAACGACGACACCACGACCATCAGCACCAGCGGCCGCCAGAACGACGACACCACGACCATCAGCACCAGCGGCCGCCAGAACGACGACACCACGACCATCAGCACCAGTGGCCGCCAGAACGACGACACCACGACCATCAGCACCAGCGGCCGCCAGAACGACGACACCACGACCATCAGCACCAGCGGCCACGACCATCAGCACCAGCGGCCGCCAGAACGATGACACCACGACCATCAGCACCAGCGGCCGCCAGAACGATGACACCACGACCATCAGCACCAGTGGCCGCCAGAACGATGACACCACGACCATCAGCACCAGCGGCCGCCAGAACGACGACACCACGACCATCAGCACCAGCGGCCACGACCATCAGCACCAGCGGCCGCCAGAACGATGACACCACGACCATCAGCACCAGTGGCCGCCAGAACGATGACACCACGACCATCAGCACCAGCGGCCGCCAGAACGACGACACCACGACCATCAGCACCAGCGGCCGCCAGAACGACGACACCACGACCATCAGCACCAGCGGCCGCCAGAACGACGACACCACGACCATCAGCACCAGCGGCCGCCAGAACGACGACACCACGACCATCACCACCAGTGGCCGCCAGAACGACGACACCACGACCATCAGCACCAGCGGCCGCCAGAACGACGACACCACGACCATCAGCACCAGTGGCCGCCAGAACGACGACACCACGACCATCAGCACCAGCGGCCGCCAGAACGACGACACCACGACCATCAGCACCAGTGGCCGCCAGAACGACGACACCACGACCATCAGCACCAGCGGCCGCCAGAACGACGACACATTCCCATCAGCACCAGTGGCCGCCAGAACGACGACACCACGACCATCAGCACCAGCGGCCACGACCATCAGCACCAGTGGCCGCCAGAACGACGACACCACGACCATCAGCACCAGCGGCCACGACCATCAGCACCAGTGGCCGCCAGAACGACGACACCACGACCATCAGCACCAGTGGTCGCCAGAACGACGACACCACGACCATCAGCACCAGCGGCCGCCAGAACGACGACACCACGACCATCAGCACCAGCGGCCACGACCATCAGCACCAGTGGCCGCCAGAACGACGACACCACGACCATCAGCACCAGCGGCCGCCAGAACGACGACACCACGACCATCAGCACCAGCGGCCACGACCATCAGCACCAGTGGCCGCCAGAACGACGACACCACGACCATCAGCACCAGTGGCCGCCAGAACGACGACACCACGACCATCAGCACCAGTGGCCGCCAGAACGATGACACCACGACCATCAGCACCAGCGGCCGCCAGAACGACGACACCACGACCATCAGCACCAGCGGCCACGACCATCAGCACCAGCGGCCGCCAGAACGACGACACCACGACCATCAGCACCAGTGGCCGCCAGAACGATGACACCACGACCATCAGCACCAGTGGCCGCCAGAACGACGACACCACGACCATCAGCACCAGTGGCCGCCAGAACGATGACACCACGACCATCAGCACCAGCGGCCGCCAGAACGACGACACCACGACCATCAGCACCAGCGGCCGCCAGAACGATGACACCACGACCATCAGCACCAGTGGCCGCCAGAACGACGACACCACGACCATCAGCACCAGTGGCCGCCAGAACGACGACACCACGACCATCAGCACCAGCGGCCGCCAGAACGACGACACCACGACCATCAGCACCAGTGGCCGCCAGAACGACGACACCACGACCATCAGCACCAGTGGCCGCCAGAACGACGACACCACGACCATCAGCACCAGCGGCCGCCAGAACGACGACACCACGACCATCAGCACCAGCGGCCGCCAGAACGACGACACCACGACCATCAGCACCAGTGGCCGCCAGAACGACGACACCACGACCATCAGGCCTTTCTGAGCCTCTTCTGTGCATGCAAACATTTCTGATTGATGAAATCAAAAAAGGAATGAAAATAAATGACTTAATTAAAAAAAATAATAATTTCATGACTTAATGTCAGACCTAAAACACTAAAACACAAAATAAACTGAAAACAACAGTTAAACTAAAACTAACAAAGATAGAGTGAATGCTAGTGAAAACTAAACTAACTAGATGCATTCACTGGGAATAGATGCTATGAGCTTAGCGTTAAAACAAAATAAAGATGATTACATTTTACAAGTATAAAATAAAATAGAATACAAAAAAAAATGTTATGGGGGGGGGAACTAAATAAAAAAGAAGAAAATAATTACAAATAAAAATACAATATAAAAAAATACAATAAAATAAAATACAATAAAAATTATTACAAATAAAAATACAATATAAAAAAATACAATAAAATAAAATACAATAAAAATAATTACAAATAAAAATACAATATAAGAAATTAAATTGATCAAATAAAAATAACTACACATTTTAAACATACAATATAAAAATAAAATAAAATAAAATATATATAAAATAAAATAAAAATGTATGAATACACAAAGTATAGTACTCTTATTGGTAGTTGAAAGCATAATCAAATTAGCCAAAATATTTAATAATCAAACAAGTGGGCCTTTCCTGAAATCATCCGTCTGAAGGTCTTCATCCGGTGGAGATCCGTGCGCAGCTGAACTCGCTCCTCTCACCTGTTATTCTAAACCTGTGGTTCTGCTTATACAGGTGGAAGACGTGTTTTCTCTCCTCGACCCGGCCTGAGTTAACATGCGTTCCCCGTTTGCCCTCGGGCACCTGAGCTGAAACCAGAGCCGCGGGTCAGACGGCCCGACTCTCAGACGGATTTGTTTCTCTTCAATGTAATTCTGCGCCTGATGATTTTATCTGGGGTTTCACGCCAATTTTGCCAAAGCGTTATGAGCGAACGCCTCAGCTGCTACTGATCTCAAACAGATCCGGTTTCTGAGGTGGATCGGGGAATATGCCACGCCGCTGGATTCAGGTGAACTGTTTTGACTGGCTGTCAATTATCAGTTGATTCTGGTACGAGGGTCAGCGAGCACCGGGAGAAAAGAGAACGATCGGGTTTCATAACACAGACTGGAAGGCTAAAAACACCAACCCTGAGAGCGCACAAATATTTGAGATTAGCCGCAGAGAAACTCTGACTCCGCAGATGTTTAGCAGCCAAACGCAGGCGAGAGAAAGAAAACACACGTGACCTTCCCGGCGCGTGTAAGCGAGAGGGATCAGAGGTCAGAGCCGCGTAACGTCTGACCCCTGGAGAACACCAGCCTGAGCTTCAGCAGCTCCACGACCTCGGGTGAACCCATGCGGAATCAGGAGAGTTTCTCCTTTACACGAGTAACAGGACAGCGGATCAGAACAGAACTCGCCTGTGATCCACATCAGGAGCAGAGCGAGGGATCAGGTGCGTCGTCTTCCTCAGGTGTGTGTGTGTGTCGTCTTCCTCAGGTGTGTGTGTGTGTGTGTCGTCTTCCTCAGGTGTGTGTCGTCTTCCTCAGGTGTGTGCAGTCTTCCTCAGGTGTGTGTAGTCTTCCTCAGGTGTGTGTTGTCTTCCTCAGCTGTGTGGTCTTCCTCAGGTGTGTGTGTGGTCTTCCTCAAGTGTGTGTCGTCTTCCTCAGGTGTGTGTCGTATTCCTCAGGTGTGTGCCGTCTTCCTCAGGTGTGTGTGTCGTCTTCCTCAGGTGTGTGTCTGTCATTAACACAGATGTGTTTTATTCAGGCTCTTAGCCAGACTCTTCAGACACACGACAGGGACTCTGTCCCTCTGAACACTGAGAGAACGGAGTGTGTGGCCACTGGAGGGCGCTCTGGCGTGGATTAAACACACACACACACACGAGGCTGTTAAACCTCATGTCCTGAACCCAGGTGAACTCTGGGTAGTGACGCTCTGGATCTGTAGGGAGGCAGAGATGATTCAGCCCAACATCACTCCCACAATCAGAACCAGATGCGTCTCAGCTCCACACACACCCGAGACACACTCGACACGACACGAGAAACCAGACGCCGCGTGTTTCCCAGACGCTACACCGATGTGTGTGTCGCTCTATCAGCGTTCAGTGTGTGTTTATGTGATGAGTGCGTGCTGTTTATTCAGCAGGATGTGTGTGTGTGTTTGAGCGCTAGCATGTCAACGGCACTCCACGATCAGATGCTTTTAGCTGCACATCAGACAAAGAGAGAGAGAAAGAGAGAGAAAGAGAGAGAGAAACAGAGATACAGAGAGAGAGACAGAAAGAGCGAGAGAGAGAGACACACACACACACACACACAGAGAGAGAGACAGGCGCTCTCCTCCATCCTCACACAGGCCACTGCCGTAAATATTTTTACATGCCGTTCCATTAGAGTGTGTGAGAGAGGCTTTTATTGAGGCGCCGAGCCCCTCTCCTCTGTAAACACTAGAGCATGATGGAAAGAGGAGACCAGACATACATCAGCACCTCAAGACACTCACTCACACTAGACAGACAGACAAACAGACAAACCTGTGTGAGTGTGTGTGTGTGTGAGTGAGTGAGTGTGTGTGTGTGTGTGTGCGTTCCCGTACGTCTGCAGTGGTCGAGTCGCAGGTCGTCTGCCCCACGTTGTCCTGCAGGAGCTGCTGCAGTAACTGAACCTGAGACGCGCTGAGAAACAGATCCAGACTGGACGTGATGTTCATCTCCAGACTGTGGCCACACACCACCACCTCCTGCAGAGAGAGAGAGAGAGAGAGAGAGAGAGAGAGAGAGAGAGAGAGAGAGAGAGAGAGAGAGAGAGAGAGAGAGAGAGAGAGAGAGAGGGAGAGAGAGAGAGAGAGAGAGAGAGAGGGAGAGGGGGGAAGGGAGATGACGGTCAGCTGATCATCACACACAGAACACCACACTGACAGAGAGCATGCTGGGACGAGAGAGCGAGCTCGTTTAACTGAAGCTGCCACTAAACAGACCTTTATTTCTACAGCTTTATACAGTACAGATCGTTACAGGGCAGCTTTACTGTAATAAACAGGAGAATAACAGAATCACTGACGAAACTTCATCAAATATGAGACAAACTTAGAGTCAGGAGTGAAGCAGCTCTACAGAAGAAGAGAGAGTCATTACTCAGATCGAGTTCTGTTCTCATCTGATAGTGTCAGTGCAGTCAGATCACTAATATCACTGAATATGAAGGCTATAATAATTGTAAAGCTGTTAACGCTAACCATAACACTAAACCTGAAAAGCGTAAATCTTCCTGCAGGAATTAAACAGGCATCTGACGACTGCGAACAAACTTAAAGCTTTTAAAGCTGCAGACACTGAATAACTGTCCTGATGCTCATTCTCTTTCCAGGTTTGAGTAAAGTGAATTCAGTGGCTGTTTGTTTAGTGATTTCCAGTATTTAAGGTCAAATATGGAACTTTACTAAAGCAAACAAACACACGGCCGAAGCATTACTGTGCAAAAGCCGAAAAACTGTTTGTCTCAGCTCAAATATTCCCAAAACACTCACACACACACACACACACACACACACACACACACACACACACACACACACACACACACACACACACACACACAGACACACACACACACACACACACACACACACACACACGCACACACACACAGAGAGACACGCACACACACACACACACACACACGTACCTCCGCTGGGCCATGATCCAGAGGCTTCCGGTAAATTACAGCTGGAGCTGCTGTGATTCGCACAGAGAAATCTGTGATGATCGGCGACAGGATCACTCGCTTCTCCTGCTGCCGTCGGATACTGCAAACACACACACACACACACACATTCAGTGTCTCTATAATTGTCTGTGAGTCTCACAGCACTGAACCTTCATCAAACCTTCAAAAACATCTCATAAACAAACTCAAAGGAGGACACAAACTCGAAACATGAATCAACATCATTAATGTTGTTTATCAGAGAACACACTCTACTCTCTGAACCCACACATTAAACACATTTCTGTTGTTTCTATGTTGCTAGTTATTAATACTGTAACCCTGACAGAAAACTTTCTGTATTTTTACAATTATAAAACTGTATTTACTTTATTTTTTATGTTTTTCACATGTCGCCAAAAAGTTTAGCTCACTTCTGGGTACAAATTTGTCCCCAAAATATGATTAAGTAGGTACAAACACACACACACACACACACACACACTCTCACGTGCACGCACGGCTCCCACGCTCCCGCTCCCACACATGAACTCCGATCGGATCTCTGAGAACATTTGTGGGCAGTAAAACAAACATGCGGCACTTTATAAGGTGCCACATCTGCTACTATTAAAACAATCAAACAGCGAAGCCTCTAATATTTATGGTGGCCAGTGGATTAGATGCAGGGAACTCTGGGATTACTGCCGGCACACGATTGGAGCGTTTCCACTGAAGAGCCGAGAGCGGATCCTGTTACCTGAACAGGTGCCAGAGAGATCACATGACCTGAGCTGAAAACCACCCGTGCAGGACTAACGCTGTTGACTAGTATACATATTCTACTTCCTGTCAGGGGATCATGTGATCTTTCGGCTGCTGTACATGAATACCTAGCATATCAAAATCGACTGCTGGCGGTAGATCACTTTCCTATTTAGCACCTAAACTCTGGAACAGTCTTCCTAACATTGTCCGGGAAGCAGACACACTCTGTCAGTTCAAAGCTAGACTACAAACACATCTCTTTGACCTAGCATACACATAGAACATTATACATTTCTATTATTCAAATCAGTTAGATGATTGTTAGGCTGCATAGATTAGGTCAGCCGGAACCGGGAACACTTCCTACAACACCCGATGTACTCGTTACATCATAAGAAGAATGGCATCTACGCTAATGTTAGTCTTTCTGCTTATTCCAAGGTTTACTGTAGTCAGCCGTATCCGGGCCGTATCCAGATCAGATGATGGTGGACCTGCGCCTAGACACGACCACAACGCATGATGTAGTCAGCCAGATCCGGGCCGTATCCAGATCAAATGGAGGACCTGCGCCTAGACACGACCACAACGCATGATGTAGTCAGCCGGATCCGGGCCGTATCCAGATCAGATGATGGAGGACCTGTGCCTAGACACGACCACGACGCATAATGTAGTCAGCCGGATTCGGGCCGTATCCAGATCAGATGGAGGACCTGTGCCTAGACACGACCACAACGCATGATGTAGTCAGCCGGATCCGGGCCGTATCCAGATCAGATGGAGGAGCTGCGCCTAGACACGACCACAACGCATGATGTACTCAGCCGTATCCGGGCCGTATCCAGATCAGATGGAGGACCTGTGCCTAGACACGACCACGACGCATGATGTAGTCAGCCGGATTCGGGCCGTATCCAGATCAGATGGAGGACCTGTGCCTAGACACGACCACAACGCATGATGTAGTCAGCCGGATCCGGGCCGTATCCAGATCAGATGGAGGAGCTGCGCCTAGACACGACCACAACGCATGATGTAGTCAGCCGTATCTGGGCCGTATCCAGATCAGATGGAGGACCTGTGCCTAGACACGACCACAACGCATGATGTAGTCAGCCGGATCCGGGCCGTATCCAGATCAGATGGAGGACCTGCGCCTAGACATGACCACAACACATGATGTAGTCAGCCGGATCCGGGCCGTATCCAGATCAGATTCAGGACCTGCGCCTAGACACGACCACAACTAATGATGTACTCAGCCGGATCCGGGCCGTATCCAGATCAGATGGAGGACCTGCGCCTAGACACGACCACATCGCATGATGTAGTCAGCCGGATCCGGGCCGTATCCAGATCAGATTCAGGACCTGCGCCTAGACACGACCACAACGCATGATGTAGTCAGCCGGATCCGGGCCGTATCCAGATCAGATGGAGGACCTGCGCCTAGACACGACCACAACGCATGATGTAGTCAGCCGGATCCGGGCCGTATCCAGATCAGATTCAGGACCTGCGCCTAGACACGACCACAACACATGATGTACTCAGCCGGATCCGGGCCGTATCCAGATCAGATGGAGGACCTGCGCCTGGACACGACCACAACGCATGATGTAGTCAGCCGGATCCGGGCCGTATCCAGATCAGATGGAGGACCTGTGCCTAGACACGACCACAACGCATGATGTAGTCAGCCGGATCCGGGCCGTATCCAGATCAGATGGAGGAGCTGCGCCTAGACACGACCACAACGCATGATGTAGTCAGCCGTATCCGGGCCGTATCCAGATCAGATGGAGGACCTGTGCCTAGACACGACCACAACGCATGATGTAGTCAGCCGGATCCGGGCCGTATCCAGATCAGATGGAGGACCTGCGCCTAGACATGACCACAACACATGATGTAGTCAGCCGGATCCGGGCCGTATCCAGATCAGATTCAGGACCTGCGCCTAGACACGACCACAACTAATGATGTACTCAGCCGGATCCGGGCTGTATCCAGATCAGATGGAGGACCTGCGCCTAGACACGACCACATCGCATGATGTAGTCAGCCGGATCCGGGCCGTATCCAGATCAGATTCAGGACCTGCGCCTAGACACGACCACAACGCATGATGTAGTCAGCCGGATCCGGGCCGTATCCAGATCAGATGGAGGACCTGCGCCTAGACACGACCACAACGCATGATGTAGTCAGCCGGATCCGGGCCGTATCCAGATCAGATTCAGGACCTGCGCCTAGACACGACCACAACACATGATGTACTCAGCCGGATCCGGGCCGTATCCAGATCAGATGGAGGACCTGCGCCTGGACACGACCACAACGCATGATGTACACGATGTACATGATGACACTTCCCTTAAATCTTGATGTACTCGCTACATCATAAGAAGAATGGCATCTACGCTAATATTAGTGTCTTTGTTTATCCCGAGGTTTTCCCGCAGCCTGCCGGATCCAGGCCGTGTCCAGATCTGACGAAGGAGATTCGCCTGGACCCGATGACAATGCAGTGCTGAAGTATCCACTATCCTCTCCCTATGGAGGATCCCTTTCCCACTCTACAGATAAAGCGCTGTGAATTCCGGCTCGCGTACCCCGAAGTGATAAAATAAAACAAAATTCTGTATCAAAATTTATAGGCAAGAAAAGTAGTTTGTTTAGGCTGGGTTGTATGAATTACAAACCTGCGCACATATTTTAAAAAGCACATAACTATAGAATTCTGAATGAGCATGTGAACGCCGTCAGCGTTAATCACAGGTTCGCGTTTAAAGTCTGATCATTTCGACGGAGGTGAATCAATCAAAGTTAACTTTAGCTGGAAGTAACATTATTCAAGAACCGCTATAACGCCAAAACAATCTGTTACCTTAAATTATATGTTTATCTCTGTAAAGCTGCTTTGAAACAACTCATTGTTAAAAGCGCTATATAAATGAAGATGACTTGACTTGACTTGTAGTCAGCCGGAAACGGGAACACTTCCTACAACACCCGATGTACTCGTTACATCATAAGAAGAATGGCATCTACGCTAATGTTAGTCTTTCTGCTTATTCCAAGGTTAACTGTAGTCAGCCGTATCCAGATCAGATGGAGGACCTGCGCCTAGACACGACCACAACACATGATGTAGTCAGCCGGATCCGGGCCGTATCCAGATCAGATGGAGGACCTGCGCCTAGACACGACCACAACACATGATGTAGTCAGCCGGATCCGGGCCGTATCCAGATCAGATGGAGGACCTGCGCCTAGACACGACCACAACACATGATGTAGTCAGCCGGATTTTGTCCATGAGGAATTGATTGGATGGGTGGATGGTTGTGGTTTTCTATTGGTGGATCTCCCTTGAGTGACAGGTTGCCCCGCCCCGTCTCAATGCGTCTCTCTTCATCTGTATGAGCTCATCGTCCTGAACCTTTATCAGCTGCGGTCGCCAGAAACTACCCAGACTTCAGTGCTCTATGATGCGGCTCACCTGCTGGCCATGTTCCACTCCAGCGCAGGATTCTGGGAGCTGCGCTCAGCGTCTGCAGGAGAACTGGCATTCGGCCCCTCACGCTCCGGCCGCAGGTCGTCCCAGTGAGCCGTGCCCATGTTGATGCACTGGAGGTCAATCTGATACTGACGGTCCTCGACCTCTGACCCCGGGTCACGCAGCACGCCCAGATTCAACGCCCGCCTGAGAGAGAGAGAAACAGAGAGAGAGACAGAGTTTAGTTGTTACATGATTTTTGTATTATAATCTTTTATTCATTATTATAATTTTTTTGCTATATATTTATTTTTTGCTATATCTAGCCATTTATTTAGTTTAATTATTATTTTCTCTACATAGGCATTACTCCATATTGTTTTAATGCTTTGGCAATTAAAAATTATGTTTTTGTCATGCCAATAAAGCTTTCTGAATTGAATTGACAGAGTTGAGAGTGTGAGGTGTGATCAATGCTGCAGCAGCACATACACACACACACACAGATCTGTGTAATATAGTAGCTGTGTGTGTGAGTGTGTGTGTGTGTGTGTTTGTGTGTGTGCGAGTGTGTGTGTGTGTGTGTGTGTGTGTGTGTGCGTGAGTGTGTGCGCGTGTGTGTGCATGTGTGTGAGTATGTGTGTGTGTGACATCAGCAGTGATGTGATGTGTTTATTTGCTCTGGCCCGCTGCGCTGCTGCTTTAAACACGGCCTGTGTTCCTAAACGCCTCCAGATGTGCGGAGCGCTCGAGGAGATCTGATGTTTCTCACCAGTGTTCATAAACATATTCACTGAGAGACTCCATCAACACGCATCACTCAGCCGTTTCTATGGTGACAGCGATCGATCACATTCACAGCGACACACGGGAGGACGACACACTACACACATCAAGACATATGTGCTTCATGAGTGTGTATAAAGTGTGCTATATTATTATCATGTAAATAGTGATAGTTGACAAAGAAATCATCATTCTGTCATTTACTCTCCATCATGCCATACAAGACTTTCTTTCTTCTGATATTTTGAAAAATGTTGGGAACCAAACAACATTGGACCCCATCGACTTTCATCAAAATATTTTCTTTTGTGTTTCGCAGAAGGTTTGAACGACATGAGGGTGAGTGAATGATGACAGAATGATGATTTTCGGCTGAACTTTATCTGTCTTTATGCTAAATATAGTGTGTGATAGTTTCTCATGTGAGCGTGTGTGTTTGTCTTTCGAGCTCCCGAGGAGATTCTCACACCACCTGACTCACGTCTGATGACATCATGACCCACACAGGCTGCGGTCGCCTCTGAACCGAGAACTGCACAGCAGAGATTTACTGCCACACTCAAATTCTCAATTACATTTAATTTAAACTAAATGAGAGTAATTAGTGGCGAGAGCAGCAGCGGAGAGACGGTACCGTGGTGTTGAGTGCGGATCCGCTCCGCAGGACACGCTGGAAATGACAGGCTGTGATGATGATGATGGTGAAGCTGGAAGCATGTTCTCACACTCATGTTCTCAGCCCTTCCTGCAGGCCAAACACACGCCTGTTCTCCATTAGACTGATAAGAGTTTAATATCCTCATACACACATCATCATCATCATCATCGTCACCGCAGAGCCTCCTCTGCCCTCCTGAGAGCCGTAACTCGCCGCATGTCGACAGCAGGACGAGCAAGCTGAGAGAGAGAGAGAGAGAGCTGTGGGAATAACCTGCCGCTGCTACAATCTCACTGGGTTTCAACTCGCATTTCAACATCTTAATTGCTCAGGTCATTTATCTCCCACCGAGTTTATATGACACAAACAGCCTGTAAACACACGACGAAAACAGCCATGTGCTCAACAGAGAGAGAGACAGAGACAGAGAAAGAGACAAAGAGAGACAGGCAGGGAGTCAGACAGGCAGGGAGTGAGACAAGCAGGGAGTCAGACAGGAAGGGAGTGAGACAGGCAGGGAGTCAGACAGGCAGGGAGTGAGACAGGCAGGGAGTGAGACAGGCAGGGAGTGAGACAGGCAGGGAGTGAGACAGGCAGGGATTCAGACAGGCAGGGAGTGAGACAGGCAGGGAGTGAGATAGGCAAGGAGTCAGACAGGCAGGGAGTGAGATAGGCAGGGAGTCAGACAGGCAGGGAGTGAGACAGGCAGGGAGTGAGATAGGCAGCGAGTCAGACAGGCAGGAAGTCAGACAGGCAGGGAGTCAGACAGGCAGGGAGTCAGACAGGCAGGGAGTCAGACAGGCAGGGAGTCAGACAGGCAGGGAGTCAGACAAGCAGGGAGTGAGACAGGCAGGGAGTCAGACAGGCAGGGAGTGAGATAGGCAGCGAGTCAGACAGGCAGGAAGTCAGACAGGCAGGGAGTCAGACAGGCAGGGAGTCAGACAGGCAGGGAGTCAGACAGGCAGGGAGTGAGATAGGCAGCGAGTCAGACAGGCAGGAAGTCAGACAGGCAGGGAGTCAGACAGGCAGGGAGTCAGACAGGCAGGGAGTTAGACAGGCAGGGAGTCAGACAGGCAGGGAGTCAGACAGGCAGGGAGTGAGATAGGCAGGGAGTCAGACAAGCAGGGAGTGAGACAAGCAGGGAGTGAGACAGGCAGTGAGTCAGACAGGCAGGGAGTGAGACAGGCAGAGAGTCAGACAGGCAGAGAGTCAGACAGGCAGTTTTAAGGAGTTCGGTTCTTTACCGAACTACTGAGGTGCCTGAACCCGGAGAAGCCTGGTTGACACGCTAGATGTTACGAGTGCTACGCTCACTTGATTGCCCTATGCTAAACAAACGCATGTAGACAAATGTTGATATCCAACGTGGTCCTGATTTATTGCCATACAGCGCCTTGTCCACAGCAGTTCCCATCAGCATAACAATACAAGGAGCCGCGCGCAAGCGGTCAAAAACCCTTTGCCCTTCCGGGTCAAAACACCTACCAAAATATTGTATTTGCTACCTTTATATTAAATTACAGACATGCGCCACCCTGTGTTAGAGAAAAGGAATTACAACCTGAATACAAAGCAGCACTTGGCTCTTACAAGCAGGGAGTGAGATAGGCAGGTTGTCAGACAGGCAGGGAGTGAGACAGACAGGCAGGGAGTGAGACAGGCAGGGAGTCAGACAGGCAGGGAGTGAAATAGGCAGGGAGTCAGACAGGTAGAGTCAGACAGGCAGGGAGTGAGATAGGCATGTTGTCAGACAGGCAGGGGGTGAGACAGGCAGGGAGTCAGACAGGCAGGGAGTAAGATAGGCAGGGAGTGAGACAGGCAGGGAGTCAGACAGGCAGGGAGTGAGACAGGCAGGGAGTCAGACAGGCAGGGAGTAAGATAGGCAGGGAGTCAGACAGGCAGGGAGTGAGACAAGGGTAAAGAGAGAGAGACAGGCAGGGAGTGAGATAGGCAGGGAGTGAGACAAGGGTAAAGAGAGAGAGACAGGCAGGGAGTGAGACAGGCAGGGAGTGAGACAAGGGTAAAGAGAGAGAGACAGGCAGGGAGTGTGACAGGCAGGGAGTGAGATAGGCAGGGAGTCAGACAGGCAGGGAGTCAGACAGGCAGGGAGTCAGACAGGCAGGGAGTGAGACAAGGGTAAAGAGAGAGAGACAGGCAGGGAGGGGCAGATCATTATCTCACTGGAACACTGAGACAGAGGTTGAACTTTGACCTCCAGCATGAATCATGTTGATGTAAGTGATCAGATGTGTAATGAAGCAGATCAGACACAAATGCTCACAACAGACTCACAGGAGTGTTTCTACAGTTCATCTGTCTGTCTGCTGTTATTGCTGTAGTGTTATTTGTGTCGTGTGTTCAGCTCAGTTTTATGCTTTATTAGTTTCTGCTCTCATTGAAACACATTTCACTGATATCCAGATCAACAAACTGAAAGCATAGATTTGTTCAATTATGACGTACAACAGGGAGGACGACACAAAGACAATAACAGCAATAGGAGTAGATATAGACAAATTAATTATACAAAGCCAACACTTTATTTGGTAACAGTAGTGTCACACACAACTGTGATGCTGGCTCCGCTGATCAACCACAGTGCGGAAGGTGCAAGTGGGCACCTTCCGTCCTCAGTGTTTCGTCGACTGGCCCACGACACCTCAAGAGGGCTCAACAGTGATTCTGGCGTCCCAGAGTCACCCCCCTCCGTCCCCCACTCAACTTAGCCCAGCTTACTTACCTGTTCATCAGCGTTTCTTTCTTTCTATTGTGCTTGAGATCCCTCCTGCTGCTGAGGTTACTCCTTCCTCGTAGTTCAGTGGCATAAACCCTTGATGTGACCTAACCATAATCTCCTAACCCCAATCTCTAACGCCACAATCTCCTCCGCAACTCAACCATACACGCCAACCCGTTTGACTAAGGCAGTCGAAGCCCCACTGTCGTCGTTAACCCTCTGGGGTCAGGGAAGACAAAGACCCTCCCATAATGGCCCTATCAGGTGGGACTGCGAGGGAATCAGAAGGCAAGGCAAGGCAAGTTTATTTATATAGCACATTTCAAACACAATGGTAATTCAAAGTGCTTTACATAGAAGAAATTAAAATAATCAAAACAAATAAGAATAATTAAAACAGTTTAGAATAAAAAATAAAATAAAGTAATACTGGTCCACGCCAATTTGGGTCACAACTTCTTTTATTTTTCTCTCGGAATCGTTCCTGATGCATCCCTGGCAAACAACCCTATTTGATGTTAGTATCCCTAACTGCCTGATTCACTAAATTCGGGGATCCCCTATCTGAGATGGAAGAGATTGAGCCGGTTTACGGTGCCACTGGACCTCTAGCCCAGGGACGTACTCTGCTGGGGTGGTGCTACACCAGTAATGCGCTTCCCCACAGACGCTTCGCATGCGCTGTCTGCTGCCGTTACCCTTAACGACGCTCTCAGCGACTTCTTATACTCTCAGCAGTATAACTAACTTATTCCTTCACTCGCCTCATCGGAGTGAAGACTCTCCCGCTCTCCTTCAAAATCTCTAACAGAGATTATTAAAAAATAATAATAATAAAAAAAAGCAGTACAGTAAAAACAGTCGGACGAACAATGGCGCAATGCTCATTCAGTAAATGCATAGCTAAACAGAAGTGTTTTGAGTCTGGATTTGAATGTGACTACTGTAGGAGCACATCTGATCTCCTCTGGAAGGTGTTCCAGCATAATAGCTAAAGCAGACTCTCCATGCTTAGAGTGAACCCTT